TCGCCGTGCAACTCTCACGTGCAAATCTTGAGGTGTGAGTTTTTTCTCTCGATAGGGAACTTATTTGCATTTTATTCTTTCATTCCTCGTGGTCAGGAAGGTTTGACCTCTTAACTGAAGAGAAAGTTTTAACAAATGGTGGACATAGTCGTGAAAGCCGTCAACATGAAGGGAATTGTGGAGTATGTATCACTAACCGGTTTATCTCGTTTTGGAGGCTGAAGTGAGAGCTGAAGTAAGAGGCTGAAGTAAGAGCAGTTGTGAGTTTTGTATGTGTTTGCGTTACAAACTTTCAAGCAGTTCTCAACAAGATGTTACCAATGTTTTAGAATTTTTGAGTTGAAAATAGGTCCTCTTGCACGCGGAGAACCAGCACTGAAGAAAATTGTTGCAATGACGACATTTACTCATCCTACCTTTACTATTCTCTTTTTTAGGTGCAATACCATTTAACAAACACTTCGATAAAGCATAGCTGGAGCGACCACCTTGATAAGTCGTGACAGGAACTAACCATCCGTAGAGGTTCAATACGCGAAGGTATGTTTTTACGATCTTATAATAAAAATAGTTCCACAATGTGTATATGTGACTACTGTTATCTTACGGAATGTGGTAAGAAGTTGATCACTTTTAACATCTGAAAAACTAGATAAATGCATGATATTCAGGCTATCGACATATCAATTCATTTATTTCCTAGTCGATATTGTATAACATATTGTTCGATCGTAAATACCGAGGTCAAGATAAACTTGCCTTTCTACCAGATAGCACGTGTGCTTGCTTATTCCGAAATTGTTCTTATCGATTTCAGGTCAGCACTGTTTAAAATCTTTATTAGGACATGGAAAGAGGAAAATATCAGCACAGAAAAGCACGCAGGTAAGCTGCAAAAAAATAATAATAATAATAAATAAATAATAATAATTTTTTAATAATATTAATAATAATAATAATAATAATAATAAAAACTTACGAAATAAATATCAAGAAAAATAGGTTCAAAATGTGTACATGAGGCTAGTGCTACCATGCCGATACAACGAACTATTACAACAGATGGGAATTTTTGATCCGTAAACGAAACGTTGTACCTGTATATCCGGGCACAAGATAGAACTGTCGCTGAGGGAAAAACCAAAATGCTATAGATGCTGTTCTCACAGGATATTATACGTGCTATCTGATTAAAACCGATTGAACTTTTCAAAAACAGCGAAGTAATTTTGCATGGATAGAATTCCCCAATTCTGACCCTTCCATTTTAATTTCAGATGGAGCACCCTTAAACGACATTTTGAAAGCACATCGCAAGAGGAGAAAGTAAAAAGTTGAGTGGAGGTAAGCTTTTGTAAATCTGGTTAAATTTAATGATTGCTAAGAAATATTGGTCCGTAATNACATTTTGAAAGCACATCGCAAGAGGAAATCACAAGTAAAGAGTTGAGTGGAGGTAAGCTTTTGTAAATCTGGTTAAATTTAATGATTGCTAAGAAATATTGGTCCGTAATGTGCACATGTGCTTACAGCTACCACGGCAATGCAAGAAGAAAATACGATGTTGATCTCTTTGGGAATAAATATGCTAAAAACTTAAAGCGAATCATGTTGACCCTGGGCATTAGAAAATTAATGCCTCGGAGAAAGAAAACTCCTGCGCTGATTTTAAACCGACTTCTGCTAATTTAAAATGATCGTTGATTTCCTAAAATTTATCGAGAAAGATTTAACCGTAACAATTTTGAATGCGTGACGTAACTTTTCCGTTACAACCATGGTTTGAAGGGCTCCTCAACACAAAATTTTATCCAGTATCTCTACAGATTTGGCGATCTTGTTTAAATTATAAATTACCGAAGTGATAAAAAATTTCTGGCTTTTATACTTTAATTCGACAAATTGAGTCCTTCCTAAAACCAAAATTTAAATCTTTGCAGCCGGTGATTTTAAACAATTTTGAAATCTGCTTGTGAATGAGGAGCTTGACTTTAAGAAAAAAACGAATGTTATTCATAAATAACACCAGCCTGCTTTGACAAGTGGACTTCAATTTGCTTTTGTCCAAAGTCTTGCAGTTTTGTGCGATTCACTCTAATTGTAATGTTCTCGTTCAAATTGTGTACGTCCACATCCTTAAAACAGGAATAATTTCCTACAAAAAAATCGCCAAAACTGCGACGTAATTTAGGTGTCGTAGAGCCAGTCTCGTTGTTCCATTCTCGACGAATTCTCGTGGATTTTTTGAACGAACAAAATGCAGGGAATCACCTTTTTCTAACAAAGCAGTGGCGCTCAAGCGTCAAAATTTCCAGCTTGAATGTCTTGAAACAAGAATGTCATTTGATTTGTTTTATTTACCAAATTAGTCAAATAAACAATTGTACCAATCGTCCATGCATATGAATATTCCCCTTACATGAAATTTTGTTCACTGCTTTCAAACTACCATTTAGGTAAATAATTTTGTTCCTACCCCACACTTTGTAACGGTCAAGCAAAAGTTTAATTAGAAAGGTTTTTATCCAACTTTTTCGTGACTCTTACCACAATTGTTCGTGCAAGGCATTTACCACGAGGCTAGGTCCTAATCATTTCAATGGTATGATCAGAATGCAAACAAAATAATTACGTCCAATGGGTATCGCCACCGGCTGACGTTTTCGTTCAATGTTTTTCCTATATCAAAAGGAATGTTTAATTTTTGGCAAAGCTAATAAATAAATCAAAAGTTTTGGAGTTTTTTCAAGGCATTTCGCCGATGAGCCGACAAGCCGTGCAAATACGATGGGATCATTCCTTGATTTTCTTTCAGATGTTAATTTGGATCGTGTTTATTCATGCACTTGTGAAAAACGCAAAAAATGTGCAATTGGTTTCGAGACGACTGTAATAACAGGGTATATTTGATTTTAGCGAAATTTATTAGTTCTTAATTCGCGAACACCACTGCTATTTATGCTAGTATTTATTTTGAAGCCAAGGGTTATTTGTGAACCTCTCTCGAGATGATTTTACGCTAATGGACCTGTGGTTTGCATTTGATTTATCGGTTCTCTAGGTGTTTTGAAGTATGTTTGACTAACTTTATCACCATCCACCCATCATCTCCCACTTGTTCCTATGCAAATTTTCCATTTCAAAACGTGCGATGTTCTCTTGAGAATTGCATCTTTTTCTGGTAAACAAATTCAAACACACGTGTTAAAATTTGAAAACAAAACGATTACATTGATTCGAGACAAGTTGAAATAGCAAAGGAAATGTTTCTCGCAGAAAAGATCTTCATCTCGACGAACCATGTCATTTGTATCCATGTCTGTCATTTATCTTTTAATTTATGTGCGTCAATTTGGTGAACCCTTGGATTGATCAATATCTATTTTCTTCTTGAAATAACAAGACAATTTCGAGTAAAACAGTTGGGAGAAGAAAGGAAAAACTACCTTGCATGAAAATAGATGTACCAGAAAACTTTCATGAAAGATCATTTGAACTATTTAAACGCGTGTAGTAGTAGCCTTGGAAAATCTTTGAAGTTTTCCATATTTTAACCCGTACATTTTTGTTCCCTCTTAGTGTCTTCACTGAAAGCCTACTGAACGAAGTGGATCACAATTCAGGAGACATGCAGCCTCAGAGGACAATTTAAGAGTTCTTAAAGAAGTCAGGAATATAACACAAAATAGTTAGAGGTTAATTTAACTTTTTAAGAGTTTTTTTTTTTTCGACCATCAGAAAAAATCTTTCAAATGTTACATCAAGAAATAATTGAGTGATCTTTCACAAAACTGGCGAGAATCAAATACCAAGGAAAGGATGGAACTATTAAGGAGACAACAGAGCTATTTTCTAATAATCTAGCTTTCAATTGTCTGACATGTTCAATTAAGTTTTTGTTGGTTAGTTCCATTCGTTGTTTAAAGGCTGTCAGACATTTTGAACCGAAACTGAATATACTTTTCCAAAGCTCAATCTCGCGCAATAATCACCGAATTCAAGCAAGATTCTCTAGCTAAGTAGCTATTTCGGCTACCACAAAATAACGTAACGGGGCAAGTAATCGAAACGTGTGAAAACGCGTGTTGATTACATGTTCTGTTGTGTTATTTTGTGGCGGCAATATTTTAACCTGTGGTTAGACCGAAAAAAAATGCGTATTCTATTTAGGAGTATTTTGCATGAATTCAGAAATTAATTTGCTGTGGTTACTTTAGTTTTCATTTTACATGGAAAAATAGCTTTAAAAACCTGACCTTACAATTGAATTGTCTGTTTCTTCAAATTGTATATTTTACAAGAAGTCAGGAGTTTTAAATACTCGTTGCAACCAAAAAATATTAATCAAGACAAAATTGTTTTCCAACTTTATTAACTAGATTTTTAGCAGTATTTTTTCCATTTACAAGCGGTCGTTAGACTTAAATGTTTAGCTTGTAAAGCGGCAGTATTCTTTTAAGGTATTTCCATATTTCGCCTTAGTTATTTTTCTACTGACATTTGAATAAGTTATTTATAATATCCAGGTTTTGCGACTTAAAAAAGTATTGTATAATCATCGCTTGTATTCAAGTGTTGTAATCAAATACAATGTTTACTTTAACTACTTAATAAAATGAAAGCAATCAATGAAATGTTCTCACCACTTTAATTGTGTATATCATCTGTTGTCATTTTGACTTATTCAATACACAAAGAAATTTTAAAAAAATCGCACTTTTAAAAGGGGCCTGGAAACTAGTCAAAATGTAGGCTATCTCTTTTACTATTTTTTGACTATGTAGGGTTGCCGTGAAGAAAAAAAGTTCTGCGCTTTTGAACAGGGTCTTGTCAGAAATCAAACACATATTTAGACTTTTGATGGGACAAATCATTTGCAGAGTGCTAGATTTTTCCCGCCAAAAGACTTCGTATATTTTTGACTCAAAACCAGACACCATTCAAAAACAGAGCCCTTTTTTCCTAAGGAGAATTTTCCCGCCAAAAGACTTAGTTTTTTACTCGACGTTTTTCTTGAACCCTTTCAAGGCCGTAAATATTTTCCCACCAAAAGACTTAGTATTTTTCCGACTTTTTTGGGTCTCTTTTAAAAGCGCAAATATTTTCCCGCCAAAAGACCTAGTTTTTTCCGAGTTCTCTCGCGACGAATTGACTAATTACAGAACCACTGCTCTGAAAGACATGTCCGATTTCTGTTTTCAAATTAACACGAGCTGAGATTATTCAAGATGTTTTATTTCAACAATTCTCTGCCTTGCTCTTAACGTGTACTCTTCTATTTCATGTCATCGCCTTTGTACCTGAAAGAAAGGCAAATACAAAATTATTTACAATATCACAACCTTCAAAACATAACACTATTTTATCTATATCAGAACCGTTCTGAGATATTTCACGCTGAGATTTCCCCAAATTTTTGTTAAATGCTGACATATACCCAAGCGGAGGCTTTTTTTTAAATTTCAGTTCCCTACACCAGCGTGTTAACCGCGCAGTCTAAATCGAATATACCAAACACGAAAGACCGTGTTTGACCACATTTCCAAACACCGAGAAGAGAGCTGAAATTAAGACGCGTGGCAGAGTATTTTAATGAAAG